TCATTGTGCATCCGTCGTCTGTTGTCTGCGCCTGACGAGCCACATCGACTTTGGGATACCAGCCCGAAGTCGCCTGCGTCACCGCAACCTCGACGACGTTCGCGTGCCTCCGCAGAACTCGCCGAACAGGTTACCTGGTCGACCTGGTCGGCCACCAGATGCTCTGGTCGACCACCAGGTGCCTCTGGTCGACCACCAGGTGCCTCTAGTTGACCACCAGGTGCCTCTGGTCGACCACAGCTCCCGTCGAGCTGCCCCCTGGTCGACGGACCCCTCTGTCGACCAGAACTGTCAGCTGTTGTCACCGAGCTCCCCTCGTCAACCGCTGCTCACTTGTCAGGTCGACGGACTTCTCCGTCGACCTCATGGTCGAACTGCTTCTTCTGGTCGACGGCCCACCCGTCGCCCAGCCCAGTCAGCTGCAGCTGTCGAGCTCCCTGGTCGACACCAACACCACAGCGGTCCCCTGCAGCTCGACAAAGCTCGTCAAGCAGCTCTCCCACTTTGAACGGTCGGCTGCTTCACCCGTACATCAGACCAAGTCGTCGGCGTTGCTAAGCAAGGGCGTAGCCAACACTCCACTCCCGTAAACAGGGGATTCTGCTGGCGGTACTGGAGTTGGAGGTGCCGGAGGCACTGGTTCTGGAGGTACTACTACTAGAGGTACTGGAGTTGGAGGTGTTGGAGGCACGGGTACTCGAGGTACTGACACTGGAGGTGCTACTAGAGGTACTGGAGTTGGAGGTGCTGGAGGTGCTTGTGCTGGAGATACTACTAGAGGTGCTGGAGTTGGTGGTGCTAGTCGGCAGGAGTTGCTCTCGCCGCAGCAGCTTCGCGACTGGGTTGTCCGGAGGGGCAGCCCCAGTGGTAGAGTTGGAGGTGCTGGTACTGGGGGTGATGTTACTACTAGAGCTGGAGGTTCTGGGGGTGCGACTACTCCGCAGCAGCCATCTGCTCTTCATCACCTTCTCAGTCTCCCTCCTGTTGTAACCTGTTGCTGGCACTACTCCACCGCCGGACCAGTCTCAGCCACAGTTACTACCTCACTCCCCACTGCCTGCTCCTGTCCCTTACACTACGGTGACGGAGTCCATTACTGAGAGTAGAGAGCATGCGTCGCGTCCTGTGACGCCTATCCGTATTCGTCGTGCTGCCTGTCCTCGTCCTCCACCTGTCCCAGGCATGCACATCATGGCACTTCATTCTTCCTCTGTTCCACAGCGTGTTGTCCTGCCGTCGCCTCCTGCGTCCTCTCTTCCTCACGTTCCTGGCCCTGAGTCTGACCGTGTTCGTGCTGTCAGTCGGACTATCAATCGTTTTCTTGCTACGGTTGTAATTGACCCTTCCTTTGAGTCTGCTGGTGCGTCTACCTTAGTTGCTGAGCTTGTTGACTTTGCTGCTTTGTGCCGCCTTGACTACGCCTTCCTTTGACTCTGCCTGTCCTCTCTCCATCGGAGGTGAGCTTGCCCTTGGCTGTGATGTCATTGAGGACAGGCAATTTGAGCTGGAGTGCCTAGCGGCCGCTGCACCTCATCTCGCGTCCACGCTACTTTGCCCTGAGGAAGACCCGGATGCACTGGATATCCCGACCCCGCGCTCTTACGCAAACGCGATCACGGGTCCGTACTCCTCTCAGTGGAAGACACCCATGGACGCAGAGATGGCTTCCTGGAAGTCCACAGGCACCTACGTCGACGCAGTTCCCCCACTTGGGGCGAAAATAATCGATGGCATGTGGATTTTCAGGGTGAAGCGGCCATTGGGTTCTCCGCCTGCCTTCAAGGCGCGTCACGTTGCATGAGGCTTTAGTCAGCGAGAGGGGGTCGAATTCTTCCCGACATTCTCACCCACCCCAAAGATGATCACTCTTCGGGTGTTACTGCAAATTGCAGCATAGCGTGACTACGAGCTGCACTCCCTCGACTTCTCGATAGCCTTCCTGCAGAGCAGCCTTCACGAGGCGATCTGGTTGCACCTCCCTCGTGGCTTCACTGGGTCGTTTCCTGAGGGTACCCAGTGGAGCCTCCGGCGGCCAGTGTACGATCTGCGTCAAGCGCCCTGTGTGTGGTACGACACACTGTGGACTATGCTGGCGGCTCTAGATTTCGTTGTGTCGACGGCTGACCCTTTGCTGTTTCTACGCACAAACACTTGCTGCCGCCGTTCTATGTTCTCGTGTACGTCGACAACTTGGTTTTTGCTACTGCTGACACTGAGGCACTGGCCCTAGTGAAGGCGGAGCTGCAGGAGAGACACACCTGCACTAACCTGGGTGAGCTGCGGAGCTATCTTGGCTTGCAGATCACCCGGGACAGAGCACGCCGCACCATCACCCTCACTTAGTCACACATGGTGCAGCAGGTCCTTCACCGCTTCGGCTTCCAGTTCTCCTTGCCACAGCCCACTCCTCTGCATACTGACCACTCGCTCTCAGCTCCCCCTTCGGACGAGTCCGTAGAGCGGAGTGGTCCGTATCCAGAGCTTGTGGGTTGCCTCATGTACTTGATGACGTGCACACGACCTGACCTCGCGTACCCTCTCAGCCTCCTTGCTCGCTACGTTGCGCCCAGTAGACACCGGAAAGAGCACTGGACAGCTGCACAGAGGGTACTGCGTTACTTGTGCAGTACATCAGGCATGTGGCTTGTGCTTGGGGAACATGGTCCAGTTGTGCTCACTGGTCACTCAGACGCTTCTTGGGCTGATGACCAAACGACTCACCGGTCGACACAGGGTTACAGCTTTAGTCTCGGCACTGGTTCTGTCTCATGCAGGTCCACTCGCTCGTCTTCTGTACTTAGTTCCAGCTGTGAGGCCGAGATCTATGCTGGGGCTATGGCTGTACAGGAGCTCCGCTGGCTGACCTACCTGCTGACTGACTTGGGTGAGCGGCCTCGTTCTCCTCCAGTTCTGTACGTCGACAACAAGACCATGATTGCCTTGTGTCAGGACCAGAGATTGGAGCACAGAACGAAGCACATTGCGCTTCGTTAATTCCTCACACGAGAGTTGCAGCAGCGTGATCAGCTTTGCCTCTCGTACGTGGTCTCACAGGCCAACACTGCTGATGTCTTCACCAAGGCCCTCGGGTCTGGTGATCATCAGCGTTTCTGCACTGCTCTTGGGCTTGTGCTCACTCTGCCTCACCTGCTTGTCTCTTGATCTTGCCTTGCCCTTGTTACACTCTGATATATATGAGTATACCTGCATGCTTCCACTTGCTAGGTTGTGATCAGTGTACTTCTCTTGCTATTATAAACTCTGCATGTGAACTGGCCTTGTGGCCATTTGCTTGTGCTCGGAATGAGTGGTGATCTTGAGATCCACCCCGAGCTTTGCTTTGTTTGCTTCTCTTGACTGGTTTTGTGACCACTTGTTGTCCCCCATTTCGCCTATGGGGGTGCGTCAAAACATGTTTATATGTTGTTATGTTTGTTCTGTTAGGCTGCAGTGTGGTACCTTGTATAGGGTACAACACAACTCTCTCGATACTTGTACCCTAATCTCCTACTAGTCTATCATCCTTAGCTTCTAACAGTGTGCAGTGCAGGGAAATGGCAGTGGGCAAGGGAGTCACCACTACCACCAACCTCACCCTGGGGTATGGGTTTAGGGTTGCTGCTATACTGCTATGTTGCTGTGCTTGCTGGCCCTCATAACACTCCCCGTGGCCCTCATTTCATCCCTCTCACCGTGTCTTTCAGCCCTTGTGTTCACCTCCTGTTCTCCTCTTGTCCCCCTCCCCCCTCTCTTGGACCTTGCACAGGTGCCACTATGGGTTGCAGGTAAGATCAAGTTTTCCCGATGTCCTACATGTTTCTCCAATTGCATTAGAGGTCGATATTGTATACTATTATGCTAGGTTTCTATGGTTGATTAGGTTAGGTATTGTTAGATATTTTGCGTATTTTGGCCCGAGCAAGAGACATGAGGCGCGGACCAAAGACGTGAGGCCCGGATCAAAGACTTGACCCAGCCTTGAACCCCAACCCAACCTAGCCTTCAACCCAACCCGACCTAGCCTTGAACACCAACCTGACCCAGCCCATACCCCAAGCTGACCTAGCCCATAACCCCATCTTGACCCAGCTTTATTCCCCAATCCCTCTCAGCCTTAAACCCCGACATGACCTAGCCTTCAACCCCAACCTGGCACAGCCCATACCCCAACCTCACCCGCCACCTCCTCCCCAGCCCCCTTCTCCCCCTCCCTCGCTTCCCACTCCCCCGCCTCCCCCGCCTCCCCCGCCCCCTCCTCCCACTCCCCCGCCCCCCCCCCTCCCCCGCCCCCCCCCCTCTCCTGCCCACGCACCCCCCGCCCCGCCCGCACCACTCCCCGCCTCCCCCGCCTACCCCTCCCCCCCTCCCCCTCCTCCCCCTCCCCTTCCTCCCCCTCCTCCCCCTCCCCCTCCTCCTCCCCCTCCTCCCCCTCCCTCCTCCCCCTCCTCCTCCCCTCCCCCCCCACCCCCCCCCCCTCCTCCCTTCTCTCTCCCTTCGCTGCTTGAGATTCTTTCAGGAGCAAGCACCAGGCTCGGCTAATGTTGACATTGAATTGAACCGCTTTCCTTTTTTGTCCATCTCTGGCCTGATTGGGTAAATAGCGGTGAAAGTTACGTTAAAGGTAGAACGTGGGCAATGTTCTTGTAACATGACAAGCTATCATGATTTCTTCATAGCCGCCTTGCCTGCCTGCTTGTGTGCACAGTGAACTGATTTCAGTTTCATGAACACACTTGCCAAGCATGCCAGATTACAAATTACCTAACTGCATCTGCACTGGGACTGAGCCAAAAGTGCTGAATTACCAGTGCTTTTCCAAGCGGTGCCCAAGCGCTGGCTACGGCGACATGCGAGGGAGGTGTGGCAAAGAGTATTTCTAATGCACTGAATCGCATGCAAGTTATACAGTAGTGCCAACAGTGGTTTCCTCTGCTCCACCACCGGTTGCCCTGCCCTGCATAAACGAATCATTCAGTCATTCTAACCGGTCCGCTTGCACCTCATGCTGCCACCTTACCACCCTCAAAACGCTTCAGCTTGAGCAACGAGTGTAAGCAGCAATTGAAGAGAAACAGTAGACAGTTACAGAAGCGCTGCACGTGCGGTGTTGAGCGCGCTTTTAATCCGGGCCAGGGACGCACTGCACGGGGCACATAGCAACGCACGGAGCACACAAGAGGGCTTAGGGTTACGAACATGTGACCGATGACACACAAGGAATCACGGAAAGTCCAACAAGGAGTACAGCGCAGGGAGGGAGAGCAGGGAGGGAGAGCAGGGAGGGAGGGCAGGGAGGGAGAGCAGGGAGGGAGAGCAGGGAGGGAGAGCAGGGAGGGAGAGCAGGGAGGGAGAGCAGGGAGGGAGAGCAGGGAGGGAGAGCAGGGAGGGCGAGCAGGGAGGGAGGGCAGAGAGGGACTGACTCGGCCTCGGGTGAAGTCGCAGACTCGCCCTGCCCGCACCGACTGGGCTGCCTCCCGCAGATAGACGTCTCGTACATAGAACTCCGGCACCTGGTCATGCTCATGCCATGCCATGCCGTGACGTGCCATGCCATGCCGTGCCGTGCCGTGTCGTGCCGTGCCGTGCCCATGCCATGGCGTGCCATGCCATGCCATGTCGTGCCGTGCCGTGCCGTGCCGTGCCCATGCCATGGCATGCCATGCCATGCCATGCCATGCCGTGCCGTGCGTGCCATGCCATGCCATAGCACGCCGTGCAGTGCCCCGCCATGCCACACAACAAAAGACCACACCAGGTCAGGCCAAGCCAGAGCATGACAGCAGAGCACCACACAGGCAGGCAAGCAGGGGCGTAAGCAGCGCGATGAAGGAGGGGCGGACTGAGCTGCCTTGCAAATGATCAGGATAGGAACTGCAGGATTGGGTTGAAAGAACCTGGTTACTTGGCAGTGCTGCGGGGCTCGCACCTCGTTCTTGAGCAGCGTGTGCTCGCACCACGCGGTGGGGTCCATGACAGCGTCCTGCAGGTGGTTGAAGTTGGCCTTGGTGCTCCTCACGTGCACCCCCCTCACTCGTGATGCTGACTCCGCCTCGTGCAGTCCCAGCGCTGAAATCTGTGAGTCATTTGGAGAGCGGGAAGTGGTGGGGCAGTGGTGGGAATGGAGGAATAGGGAAGAGAAGGAAGGGGGGAGGTGGTGTGGAGGCGGATGGGAGAGGGAGGTAAAAGAGGTGGTGGGCGTGATGGCGTCACGGCGGTCCATTCACTTCTCATCACGTGCCGTGTGCTGCAGGTCTTTTCGCAACAGTTGGATTAATCCGCAGGAAGAAGCGGAGAGTTGGGGGAAGGGCAAGGACGAGGGGGTTGGGGAAAGGGGGAGAGGGCAATTACAATGTGAGTGCTCTTCTCCCACCCATCTCACCTTTCCACGCACCCTCCCATGCCACGATTGTTAGAATATCGTTCCCCGTGTCCTGCAAGTATCTTTTATAGCTTGGGTGGACATAGACACCTGATATGGTTTGGGTGCACAAACAATTAGGGCTCACCATAGTTGGCTTGGGAACTCAAACCTTGGCCCTAATATTTGGCCCCCAAGGTTGGGTTGGTAGATTATTGGAGGCCCAACACTCTTGGCTCACTTGTGACGAAAATTATTGGACACCACAATAATTTACCGATCCAACTTAGTGGAGGGGGACAATAATGTTGGCCACTGTGGCCACCAAATCCCCTTTTAGGCATGAGCATGGGACCCGGCTTTTTGGCGGGTCGGTCCAGACTATTCGAAACGAAGACCCGGCCGGGTCGGGTCGACCCATGACCCGATTCCTGAAATGTGCTATGGGTCACTGGGGTTGGGCTGAGCTCAATGACAGGTGTGCAGTTGGGGTTGGGTCTTCAAGATTCACTTCCGTGATGAGTGGTGAGATGTGCCAAAGTGGCTGGGAATGACTGCCGTCGATAACTCATTTGTTGCAGACGAGGGAGTGCCTAGGCATCCCTACCTCTGCAGATCGGCCAACGAAATCGCCAATCTGCAAAAATTGGCGGGCAATACTGCCGATTTCCGCTTCTCGGCGGGCGAAAGCGCTAATCCGCGTGGGTCGCTGGGTGAAATCGCCGATCTGCGCAGAGCGCGGACGAAAGCGGTACTTTCGTACCCGACCCGGTCCTTTAAGGCCAGGTCAGGCCAAGGTTTTGAAAACCTCGGGCCATTAAGACCCGACCCACTACCCGCCTGGCCAGCCCAAATCGGGTCGGGACGGGTCGGGTCGGTTGCTCATGCCTGTGCACTCTTACCTATGTATACCCCCACCGTTTTCAATCCAAGTATCACTTCTTCATGCCTCTGCATTTCTCACATGGTATTAAAGCAATTCGGCTCACGCCTCTCCCAATCCACGCGGACACGAAGGTGCCGTCCCCTACCCCGTCCTCCTCCTCCGCCCTCCCCATGGTGGACGATACCTCCTCCGTCGAGCTCACGTTCATCAACAACCTCAACAAACTCCACACAGCGACCCCACCTACGCCATTCTCATGACACTGATCTTTGACAAAGACCTGACGTTCACTAGAAAGTTCTAGCGGAAACTTATGGGATTATTGAGGACTAAGCTTGCAACGTCTTCAGCACACCATCTCTAGACAGATGGCCAGACGGAACCAAGTGGTAGAACAGTTACTGCGCACAGCTTGCAAAGATGACATCAGCCACTAGGATCAACAGTAACCAACACTCGAGTTCGCCTACAACAAACTATAAACGCGACCACAGGAAAAAACCATTTCTTATTGTGGTACCGACGTGACCTCGTTACACCACAACCGCCAACTACACTGGTCCGCGTCCAAGCTGCTCATGACTTCATCACCACCATGCAGCAAATATAGGAGACAACTCACCACGATTCAGAACTCCCATAAACAACATGCTGATGGTTATTGACATGACTAGATGATTGGAATCGGAGACAGTTTGTTTTGGACACTCTTTCTTGGACCTTCTCATCTGCCGTCCAGGCTCCGTCCATGATTCTGTGGTCCTCTCCGCGTTGAGGCGATGGTGACACCAGTTACTTTCCGCTTGCACTTGTTATGTCACGAAGGATAGAGAGTGCACAGACACATTTCTGCTGAGCGGCGTCAAACGTTGATAGCGAACTGGTTACTGCATCTAATGATGTGCTATAAATCGAATATGGAGCGCCTTGATGTTGTCTACAATCAACAAGTTGAATCACCTGTTTTGATAAAGAACCGACGACGTGAGAGTAGTTTGAGTGAAGCACGTTCTAGCAGCAACTATGATCTTTGAGCACACCTTGTTCACACCCCTTCTGGTCGCTTACTCTCCTACATCCCCCGATGCCGCTCCACCTACATGCGTACTTTTTGCACCCCCCGCCCTACCATTCACCACTTCAGTACCACCCCCCTCCCCCCCCTTCCCTCACCTCCCCCCCACCCCATCGCACCTTGCGTGGATCCATGATGAGGCGGCGGAAGCCAGCCTCCCCGGGGCAGAGGTGGGGGTCGGGGAAGCGGATGCGGTCGTGGCAGACGGGGTACGGCCAGCGGAACACCATGCGCTCCATCGAGAACGCCTCGCCCTCGGGCACGCGGAACGGCAGCGCGCACAGCCGCGTCGACCACCACTGGCTGCCCACGCTCACCCACGGCACCGCCCGCACGTACGCCGCAGCCTCGGCGGCCGCGGCTGCCGAGCCTCCAGATGCAGTTACCGCAGCGGCGGCCCCGGTAACGGCGGAATCAACGAGGGGGTCTGAGAGGGCGGTTTCGGAGGAGGAGGTGGGGGGGTAGGCGAAGGGGTCGAGGAAGGAGGGGATGGAGGCGGGCGGCAGGCCGACGAAGAGGAACTCGTTGATGGCGGCTGGGATGACCCAGCGGGCTGTGAAGGCATGGCGCTGCACACAGTCGTGCATTGCTAGCACCTGGTGGGAGGTGGGGTTTGAAGAATGGTGGTGTTGGCAGGTAAAAGGGGTGAACGAGGGTGGCACGGGAAAGGGTGGGAAGTGGGTGGCAGGGGGAAGGGCCGTGTGGTGGTGCACAGAGACATGCATGGCCAGCACTTGGTGAAGGTGGGGAGGGTGGAAACGGAGAGGACGGAGAGGGAAGCATGTTGTGTGTGTCCGTATGCATCGAGAACAAGCATGTTGTGTGTGTCCGTATGCATCGAGAACAAGCATGTTGTGTGTGTCCGTATGCATCGAGAACAAGCATGTTGTGTGTGTCCGTATGCATCGAGAACAAGCATGTTGTGTGTGTCCGTATGCATCGAGAACAAGCATGTTGTGTGTGTCCGTATGCATCGAGAACAAGCATGTTGTGTGTGTCCGTATGCATCGAGAACAAGCATGTTGTGTGTGTCCGTATGCATCGAGAACAAGCATGTTGTGTGTGTCCGTATGCATCGAGAACAAGCATGTTGTGTGTGTCCGTATGCATCGAGAACAAGCATGTTGTGTGTGTCCGTATGCATCGAGAACAAGCATGTTGTGTGTGTCCGTATGCATCGAGAACAAGCATGTTGTGTGTGTCCGTATGCATCGAGAACAAGCATGTTGTGTGTGTCCGTATGCATCGAGAACAAGCATGTTGTGTGTGTCCGTATGCATCGAGAACAAGCATGTTGTGTGTGTCCGTATGCATCGAGAACAAGCATGTTGTGTGTGTCCGTATGCATCGAGAACAAGCATGTTGTGTGTGTCCGTATGCATCGAGAACAAGCATGTTGTGTGTGTCCGTATGCATCGAGAACAAGCATGTTGTGTGTGTCCGTATGCATCGAGAACAAGCATGTTGTGTGTGTCCGTATGCATCGAGAACAAGCATGTTGTGTGTGTCCGTATGCATCGAGAACAAGCATGTTGTGTGTGTCCGTATGCATCGAGAACAAGCATGTTGTGTGTGTCCGTATGCATCGAGAACAAGCATGTTGTGTGTGTCCGTATGCATCGAGAACAAGCATGTTGTGTGTGTCCGTATGCATCGAGAACAAGCATGTTGTGTGTGTCCGTATGCATCGAGAACAAGCATGTTGTGTGTGTCCGTATGCATCGAGAACAAGCATGTTGTGTGTGTCCGTATGCATCGAGAACACGCGCAAGCGTTGCTGCGCGCACCTGTCCGTTCCTCTCGAGGTCAAACTGCTTCACGCCTGTGAAGTCCGTGCGGCGCACCACCCTCCTTTCAAAGTCCCCATGGAATCGCTCTGTGAGTTCCACGGCGAGCCACCCGCCGCTGTCGTACAGCGCCACCACGGCGGCGCCCAGCAGGCGGTGGTACTCCACCGCCTCGCGCAGCAGATGCACCGGCACCGATGCGTTACGCGCCGAGGGCAGCAGGCAGAACACCGAGTGGAACGGGAAGGGGAGACCTGGGGTCGTGGTTGGGAAGGTGAGAGGAGCTTCCCTGGTGGGGGGAAGGGGGGAAGGAGAGGGGGAAGAGTGGTTGTGGGGCAGAATGGGGAGGGCGTGCAAGGGAGGTATGGGGGAAGGGGAAGAGGTGCAGGAGAGGTTTGGAGTTGAGGGGTGGTACTCCACTGCCTCGCGCAGCAGATGCACCGGCACCGACGGGTTGCGCGTCAAGGGGAGGATGCAGGGTACCGAGTGGAAGGGGAAGGGGAGACCTGGGGTCGTGAATGTCCGAGGGGCTTCCCTGGTGGGGCGGGGGAAGGGAAGACGTAGGGTGGAGCGTGCAGGGCGAGTGAGGGAGAGGGAGGTATTGGAGAGGGAAGGAAGTGGTGGAAGGAGGAGTGATGTGGGTGAGGTGAGAAGAACAGGGAACTAGAAAACAGGAACTCCAGGGAGGATGAGATGATAGGGGTGAAGGGCACGTATGCAAGGCCTTCCAGTTGCCAGTGAAACTCAAGCACCACCTCTCTTTCTCCACTCATGGTCACCACTATCACACCCACAATGGTCACACCCACCATTGTCACCCACCCACTGTCACACCCACCATTGTCACCCACCCACTGTCACACCCACCACTGTCACACCCACCACTGCCACACCCACCACTGCCCCACCCGCCACTGTCACACCCACCACTCTCACACTCACCTGTAGAGCACAAAGTCAGTCCCTTCAATGCGCACAGCCAGGAAGCCCCCTGTGTTGGGCACGTCCTCGCTAAAGGCGGCCTCGATAACGGCCTCCGTGTGCTGCGAGGCGGACCCCTGCTGCCCCAGCGAATAGGACACGTTTACCGTGCAGTCCAGCGCCAACTGTGCAGGTCCGAACCACCTGCGAGAAGGGAGGAGTGGCCGAGTGGGAGAGGAATGGGCGAATGAGTGAGTAGGATGCGTTCACCTGTGAAGGTGGGGAGGGATAGGTGAATAGGCATCAAAAGAGTAGGGGATTTTGAAGGCAAGGGGCAAACTGTCAAGGGCGTGGAGGGAGAGAAGGGGGTCAAGGCAAATGAGCAGTGAGAAGCAGGTGTTGGGGGTGGCAGCAGTGACAGGGAAGAGCGGAGAGTGAGGGGCAGGGAAAGAGGGCGGTGGTGGGACCAGCGCACCTGTTCCTGTGAGCCCCCTGTGTGCCCTCCACCTGTGTGCCCCCCCCCTGCGCGCCCTCCCCATGTGCGCCCTCCCGCTGTATGTAGCCCTTCCTCTGTGCGCCCTCACCCTGTACGCCCTCCCCTTTTGCGCCCTCCCCCTGTGCTCCCTCCCCCCGTGTGCCACAGCGCTCACCTGCAGTGTGTGGCAGCCAGGCGCTTCCTCGTGGCCAAACACCACCCCCATGCCCACCTTTGAGAATTCCCAGCAAACCTGTCTCTTCCCTAAAGCTCCTACCCCTACCCTGAAGCCCATTACCCAGTGCGCTTTTTCCCCTTATCCCTGTGCTGCGCGTCCTCCCCCCTCTCTGCCCCTCACCTGCAGTGCGTGGCGAAGAGACGGCCTTTCATGGCCCGCGGGACCACCCCCACGCCCACCAGCCTGCGCGGGCCAACGCGGTAACCACTGGAGGTTGGGGGGAAAGGGGGGAACGAGTGCCGGGGGCAGGAGGTGTCGGCATGGAACGGGACATAATGGTATGGGATGTTATCATATGCCTTCAGGTCTGTCTGCCCCTCGTCTTGAATTGCCAATTTGTATGCGTCGAATGCCTTTGTGAAATACGTTCTAATTGGCAGGATTTAGAATTTGTGAGTGTGTTTGAATTTCATATTGTCTGAGCAGATATCTGAAATGACATCTCTGCCGAAAACCCTTCCGGCGAACCAAAGATCGTTTCAACCAGCGAACCAAAGATACGAACGATCAGAGATCGTATGCTTTTAAGTTATCGTTACGTCGACTATGGGGATTTGTGAGGTTACTCTTTGTGGGATTAGTTGGGATAATTTAACGCCTCACTGTAGTTGCTGCCAAGTGGATGGGAGAAACCAAACCAGGTTGACAACTGTGACCAATTTGAATGAGGTGGCTTGCATGAGTCAGGAAAAAATGTCAAGCATGAAAATTGAATTATTATAGGAAGGAGATTTTGTGTGGTTATGGGGTTTCTTGGTTGATGACTCCCTGGGGACCTTCTCTGTTGTCCTCTTTTTGGTCTCTCACCTGGTTTATTCCTCCTCCATTTCCTTGTCTGGATCTTGGTTGAACATTAAGTTTGAGTTAAGTTTCACCTACAGCACATCCATCGGTACGTCGAAACTCATATCTCGAGAAACATTTTCTCTTTAAATGCGATTCAAATTGAAAATGGTCGGTCTAGGGCTACAACATAGTCGATTTGGGTAAAGTTCTAACGGTGTGTTTTTTGTCAGCTGCGTTTCTTGTAAAATTGACGTTTCTGTCCAGAAACTTGGTTCAACGATTTGAGATATTTTGGGCCTCTAATCTACAGAATCAATACTTGATGCTAACACATAAGAAACGGAGCATGGGGAACAGGGCATGGGTTATGGGGCATGGGGCAAGGGGAAGGGGGCAGGGACAAGGGGGCAGGGAGCAGGGAGCAAGGGGCACGGAGCAGGGGCCACGAGACTCTCTGCGGAGCTTTAAGGATGGGTGGTTTTCAATGGCACCCGAAAAATAGTGGGGATGTATAGTTTCTATGTTTATACCTGAAGCGGGTGAAGACCGAGTTGCCTGCCAACACACGCTGCCTCCACTCCGACGCGTCTAATGGGTCCACAGGCGTTGGGGGGAGGGAGGTCAAGGGAAGATGGTAAAAGGGGCTGTTATGGGAGGGAAGGAAGGATGTCTGGCGGAAGGCACGGGAAACACGAGGGACAGCAAGAGGAGATGGGCAGGGGCAAAGCCGCAACACTCACTGGCGAAGGGCCCTTGGGGAATGTACCCCTGTGTGGGCAGTGGCTCCGTCCACGCCTCCTCGCCCTCCACGTCATCCAACACCGCCTTGCCCACCCTAGCTGCTGCCCCCACTCCCCCTCCGCGCCCCCCTACTCCCAACTTTATCCCCTGCCCCTGCTGGCCTTCTCGCCCTTCCCCCCAACCACTGCTCCTACCCCCCTCCCCAGCCACCTCTACACCCCCTTCCCCGCCCATTCGTCCCATTGTACCCCCTCCCGCTCCCCCTCCGCCCCCTCCCCCTGCGCCCTCCTCCTCGTCGTCCTCCTCGTCCTCCAGGCTCAGCAGCTCCTCGATCCCCATGCTCTTCAGCCGCAGCCCCGTGCGTGCCCCCGCCCCCATGCTCTGCTGCTCCTCCGCCTGCTCCATCGGAATGCGCTTCCTCCTGCCCTGCCTTGCCACTGAGCCTTCCCCTCCTCCTCCTTCCCCTACCCCTCCTCCGCCATTTCCCCCTCCTCCTCGTGCCCCTCCCCCCTGTGCCCCCCTCCCCTCCTCTCCCAGCCTCCTCTTGCTCTCTCCCTCCCCTCCTCTCCTCCCCCCCCTCTCCTTCAGCTCTCCACTCCCCGCCTCCCCACGTTCACCTCCAGCCACCCTCCTCTTGCGTCCAACCCCACTCTTCACCCCACCCTCACCTTTTCCCTTCCCCCCACCCTTCTCCTCGTCCTCCCCTCCCTCCTCCTCTCCCTCTTCCCCCTCCTCCTCTCCCTCCTCCCCTTCCCCCTCCCCCTCCTCCTCCTCTTCCTCCTCCTCATCCTCACCTCTCTCTCTACTCACAGCCATCCTCGCCTCAGCCATCGCCCTCTCCTCCTCACTCATCTCCCCCTCTCCCTTCCCACCGCCTCCCACCGCACCACGCCCCTCCCCACCCTTGTGCTTCTTCCTCTTCCGCCGGTGCTTCACCGCCTCACCGCCACCACCACTCTTAACGCCGCTGTCCTCGCTGCCGCGCTCGCCCGCCTCGTCCCTGCGCGCCTTGAGCATCGACACCAGGTCCGCCCGCTCGCTGTCCATCTCCTCCGGCTTCGCCCACTCTATCGGCACCACCCCCCCTGCGCCCCCTCCCCCCCCCTGCGCCCCCTTCTCCCCCTGCTCCCCCTCCTTCCCCTCCCCCCTCTGATTCCCCTCCACCCTCTCCTTCCTCACCTCCAGACGCTGCTTTCCCCCCCCCTCCACCTGCTCCAGCCCCTCCCCCCTCCCCTCCTCCATCTCCTTCCCCAGCCGCCCCCTGAGCTCTCCCCCCCTCGCCATCCACGCCACCTTCCCCATCACCCCCCTCTCCTCCGCTGACCCGCCTCGCCTCTCCTCCCTCTTGCTCCGCCCCTTCAGCATCCCCACCTGCCGCTCGCCCCACTCCCCCGCCCTGCCCTCTCTCCAAACCATCAGCGGTAGCGGCAGAACCTGCACCGGAACCAGCAGAGCGATCACCAGCACCATTACTGCCACCACCACCACCAGCACTCACAGCACCATCGCTACCTGCCCTCGTCTCCTCCTCGCGCCCACCAGTATTCTCCTCTGCTCTCCTTCCAGTCTTCTCTCCTCCCATCCCTCCGCCTCCCCTCCCCTCACGTCCTCCCTCTCCTTGCTGAGTCACCACTCGCCCCTGCTCGCCCCCACCCCTGTCATCTCCGCCACCCCCCCCAGCGCCTGCCCCTCCTGCCGCGCCCATACCTGCCGCCACTCCTCCCTGCTGCTGCTCCTGCTGCTGCTGCCCTGCCCCTTCCACCGTGCGCTGCTCTTGGCCCCCCTCCTCCTTCTGCCCGCCTGCTCCCTCTCCTTGCGTGTCCCCTGCCGCCGCCGCCGCCGCCGCCTTCCCTGCTGCTGCAGCCTCTTCCTCCTTCTGCTTGGCGGCGCGGGCGGCAGCCTCCTTCGCCATCAGCTGCTTCAGCCGCTCGTGCCGTGCTGCCCTGCCACTCAGCTTTGGGGGTTCCATCGCCGATACCACCTGCCCCTGCTGCTGCTGCCGCATGCCTGTGCCTGCTCCCCCTCCCCCTACCACGACCCCTTCCGCCCTCGCTCCTCCTCCTCCCCCTCCTCCCCCAGCCACACCTCCACCCGCCCCGCCACCCACGCCCTGCAGCCGGCGGTCCAGCTGCATGAGCAGCGCGGGCATCTGCTGCAGCGCGCGCGCGCTCTCCTGCACCACGGCCAGTGTCCTCACCGGCACCGAGTACCCCCCCTTGCCGTCCGCCTCCTCCCCCGTCAGCATGCGCTTCACATCCCGCAGCGCTGACATGTGCTTCTGGGAGTTCTGCAGCACCATCGCCACCAGCCCCTGCAGGGACTTCACCGTCGCCCCGCCACCGCCCGCAGCAGCGTCAGGGCCAGCAGGCGGGGGTGTGGCGGCGGCAGTGTTGGCGGAGAAGGCGGCTGATTGCAGCGAGGAGAAGCGCTTGGCGAGGCGCGAGAGGATGGTGGTTTGTGTGGAGACGGCGCGGAGGAGCAGCGTGAGGTGCGTTCCGTTGCGCACCTCCGCCAGAACCTGCTGCAGCAGCCGCTCCATCTGCTGCGCCTGCTGCGCTGACACCTGTGCCTGTGGCTGCAGCTGTGTTGGGGGAAAGAGGGGGGGGAGAAGGGGGGAAAGACGTGGCGAAGAGGGAAAAATGGGGGAGAGCGGGGGAAGGAGGAAAGTACGGGGGAGAGAGATGAGTTACGAGCAGACTCAAAAGCGGCACTGAAATGACTCTTGCGATGACTTATCTTGACTCCCATTGACACCCCCATTGACTCGCATTGACCCCCATTTACCTCATTGACCCTCATTGCCTCGTGATGACCCTCGTTGACTCGTGTTGACCCCCATCGACTTCAGTTGACCCCCATTGACGCCCAGTTGACCCCCTATTGACTCCCTCACTGGCATCGCCTCTAGGTGACTCACATCCATGTCGAGCGACGGCAGCTGTGGTAGCTGCTCGCCCAGCCCCAGGCCCAGCCCGCCATTAGCCGTGGCAGCCTTGATATGCGCCACCAGCGCCTTGAGCACCCCGAGAATGCGGATGAGCTGAGGGAATGGTGAAGGGGGGGGAGGGAGGTTGGGAGAGACATGAGGGGGCGAGTGGGTTACAGGACTGTGAGGAGGCACACATGTGACATGCCTCCCGGCCCACCGTTGGCCCTGGCGGCCTTTATGTGCGCCATGCCACCAACGCCTTGAGCACCGCCAGAATGCAGATGAGCTGCCTGAGAAGAGAGGGGGGGATGTGGGATGGAGGGGAGAGGGGTGGGGAAGAGGAGAGTGAGGAGGCACGTGTGCGCCCCAGTCCAGCCGCCCTGGGCAGTTGCAGACTCGGGCTTGCGTTGGTCGTGGCAGCCTTGATGTGTGCCACCAGCGCCTTGAGCACTGCCAGCATGCGTGTCCTTCCCCTGGCCCGCCTTGACGGGACCACTGCGCCCAGCAGCCACACCTCAACAACCCTGCCCTGACGGAAGCACCCAAGGGAAACACCTGAGGGGGGCACTTGAGGGAAGCACCTGAGGGAAGCACCTGAGGGAAGCACCTGAGGGAAGCACGTGAGGGAAGCACCTGAGGGAAGCACCTGAGGGAAGCACCTGAGGGAAGCACCTGAGGGAAGCACCTGAGGGAAGCACCTGAGGGAAGCACCTGAGGGAAGCACCTGAGGGAAGCACCTGCAGGGCAAACTCTTACTCGACTTGCCTCGGTGCTCAAGTGAGTATTGCAAACAACAAGGCGAGTTTTACTCACTTTGGTCCTTCACTCATGAGTCATGTCTACCCTGCAAGGAGCACCTGAGGAAGCACCTGCGGGAGCACCTGAGGGGAGCACCTGAGGAAGCACCTGAGGAAGAACCTGAGGAAGCACCTGTGGGAGTACCTGAGGGGAGTACCTGAGGGGAGTAGTCCGTCGTTGACTGCCTTGACTTGAGGTCCTCCATTGACTCCTGCTCACATGCTCACATCGCATCGCATCGCATCACATCACATCACATCATATCACATCCCATCACACACCACATCAAACCATATCACATCACATCGCATCCCATCACACCAGATGCACGCATGCGGCAAGATTCAAACCAGAAAGTGACTGTGAGAGATGGGCAGTGTACAAAGGAGCAGCCGCTGCAGCAGCAAGAGCATGACAGCACACACACCTGCAGCGTCTTGAGGGCCAGCAGCTGCTTCCTGGAAGCCGCGGCCGCCTCCCTCACCCCCATCAAGCTCGCTCCGCTGCCCGCTGCCCCTCCTGCTCCTCCTGCCCCTCCCTGCTCCTGTGTGTGTCATGCCGTGCCGTGCCAAGCAACACATAGGGTGTGGTTGATGTGAGCTGAGGTTCGAGAAATCTGGCAAGCGATCAGAAGAGCATCATGCATGCATGCATGTGTGCAGTTCAACTGGCATGCCATGTGATGATGCGTGACAACCCTTCCACTGCTGTACTCAACCACTTGCATTGCATGTGGCCACACGCACCGCGCAGCACCCACCTCCATCTGCTTGGAGAGCGCCTTGACTGAGGTGAGCAGGCTGGAGAGAAACGCCTCTGTCTTGCGCTGCCGGGGGGGGCGTGGCCGCAGCACGCACGCCCAGTAGCAGCATATAGGGGGGCAGGCATGGAGGAGGGGGCGTGGGGGAGAGGGAGGGGAATGGAGTAGGGGGGGGGAAGGGGGATCGGGAAGGGGAGAGGAATGAGATGAGGGTTGGGTGGGTTACAAGCACGAGAGTTGTGCAGCTTTCCTTAGCTTGAAGTGAAGGCACACGTGCATGCAGCCCTGTTGAAGAGTTGAGGCAGGGGCTTGTGTTGAGATGAATTGAATGTGCCCTGCTCCATTTGGATGGAGCACTGCTTACAAGTGGGCGAGGGGATGGGGATAGAAAGGGAATCCTCCCCGCTCTCCCCCTGCTCTCACCCTGCCCCTCCCTGCCCTCCCCCTGTCCCCCCTTGCTCCCCCCCTGGCCCCCCCTGATCTTCCCTGCCCCTGACCTTCCCTCCCGCTCTTCCCTCGCTTGTCCCCGCCTGGGAGAGCACCTGGGAGCGAGCGGACGCGGAGATGAGCACGGCCAGCTTCTCCTTGCTCACATCTCCGCGGCCTCTCCCGCCCTCCCCCCTTCTCCCTGCCCCTCCCCCCCCTGAGGCCACACCACACCTGGGAGCGAGCGGAGGCGGAGATGAGCACGGCCAGCTTCTCCTTTGTCACATCTCCGCCGCCCCTCCCGCCCTCCCCGCCTCCGCCAATGGCGTCCACGGCTGTTGCCACGTGGGTCTGCACCGTGGCGCTGTGATTGCGGATCTCCGTTGCCAGCTGGCGCAGCTGACCTGGCAATGATGATGCATGCACGCACACACGCATGTGCGCACGCACACGCACGGACATACGGCACACACACGGATACAAACATGCACCAAGATAAGGACACAGACACGGAAAAGACAGACACACACACAGGTACAGGGACAGATAGACACTCAAAGACAGAGCCAAATATGATACACATGCATGCATGCACGCACACGCACACACAGAAACACGATACACACATATGCACACACACAATCAAGCAAGCACATGCATGAAGCAAAAGCATGGTGCCACATCTCAAAGCTCCACGCTGCTCCCCCTATCACACGGCCATAGGGCACCCTAACCCAGCCTCGTGGGTACAGCAAAGCCGGTTGTTTCAGGAAGCAAGGCGGGGCTATCTATCACACTCTGGCCCGGGCCGGCCCGTGATGTGGAGCTGGCCAGTCCATCACGTTGCATGGAAGCACGGTTGGGCAGACCGTACAGTGGAGGCAGTTTCGAGAATGCTCACATGTGACTCTTGAGAACCTTCGCATCACAAACAAGTCACTCGAGGAAGCGGCTCAGCCGTGGTGGCGGGCCTATGAGGGACGAGTCCCAACTCCCGACAAGGCGGACAGGCGTTAAACAAGCATGCGTGTGCTGCGGGCAGGCAGCAGCGCTGCAGGGAGTGCATGCGTGCGTGACAACTAGGCACGCCACCCACCGGTGTGCAGGGCTGCAGTTACTCACTCACTCACTTGCTCACTCATTCGCTCACTTTCTGACTCACTCACCCACTCACTGTCTGACTGACTGACTGACTGACTGACTGACTGACTGATTGATTGACTCACCCACACACTTACTCACTCACGGACTGACTGTCTGACTGACTGATTCACTTATTCACTCACGCACTGACTGACTGAATGTCTGAATGACTGACTCTCTGACTAACTGACTCACTCACTCGTTTGCTCATTCACTCACTGTCTGACTGACTCACTCACTCACTCACTCACTGTCTGACTGACTGATTCACTTACTCATTCAATGTCTGTCCGACTGTCTGAATGACTGAATGACTGAATCTCTGAGTGACTGGGCACCAACCTAGTGCTGCCGTGTCTCACTATTGACTGATCAGAGAGCACTCGCCACTAGGTGGGTGCAGTGTGGTGCAGTGCAGCACTAACTGGTCTGCAGGGCGACGTGGTCGGTGAGGGCGGTGGCGACGGAGAGAGTGTGGTTCTCCAGAGCGCCCACCAGCACGCGCATGTCATGCGCCTCGTTGCCCGCCTGCTCCGTTATGCTGGGTTGTGAGGAGGACGGGGGAGGGGTGGGGAGTGGTGGGGGGTGGGGGTAAGATATGTGGTATGGGGATGTAGCAAGCAGTGGGTGATTGTAGCGGTTGGTTACTTAGAGGGACGGCACTACCGCTGCTGGCACGTGCGTGACTGCGGTGCGGTGAGATCCGCACCTCTCTGTGCCGCACCTCTCTGTGCCGTACCTCTCTGTGCCATACCTCTCCGTGCCGTACCTCTCTGTGCCGAACCTCTCTGTGCCGAACCTCTCTGCGCCCTACCTCTCTGCGCCTACCTCTCTGCGCCCTACCTCTCTGCCCTCTGCGCCCTACCTCTCTGCGCCCTACCTCTCTGCGCCCTACCTCTCTGCGCCCTACCTCTCTGTGAGCGCCACTACGATCTGCTCGATGCTGGAGAGGTGCCGCGCCACCATCATGTACTGCGCGCGGAGAGGGGGATGGGGGGGAGGGCAGGGGGAGTGGGGGGAAACGAAGGGGAGAAGGGGGAAGGGAGGGGGAGAGAGGGGGGAGCGGAGAAGGGGAGGTAGGGGAGAGGGTGGGGGGCGGGGAGAGGGGCGAGAGGAATGGGGCAGAAAGGGGAGGGTGGAAGATGAATGGAAAAGGGGACGACGGGGGGAAACGAAGGGAGGGGAAAGGGCAGCGGGGAGGGGGTGGGGCAAGAAGCGGCGCGAGAATTCGCGGTGCATTGCGATGGCGCCCTCCGCCTCGTGCCCCCCGCGCTCTCCCCCCCGACTGCCGCCTTTGCCGCGCGCACAGCCGAGGCAGCAGTCTCCGCGTGTCCCGCCTGTCAACCCCCGTGCGGACATGTCAACCCCCGTGCGGACATGTCAACCCCCGTGCGGACATGTCAACCCCCGTGCGGACATGTCAACCCCCGTGCGGACATGTCAACCCCCGTGCGGACATGTCAACGCCCCACCCTGCCCGGCACGAGTGACCACCAAACGCGGTCGCAAGAAAGATTTCGAGTAATGTTCCGCGCGTTGGGCCGCCAGCGGGGTGCTCAGCGGCGCCAACAGCGAAATGCCGCCGCTCATTGCGGGGTGCTCAGCGGGGTATGCGCTGCTCGTCGCGCGCATTGCCGACTGCTGGAGTCCACACGGGTAGCGCGCGATCTGACGCGACTCGTTATAATCACGACTGTCGAAGAAAATGCCGTTGACGTCACCGCCGCCGCCGCGTGCGTGCATTGCCTGTCTAAGATAGTCTAGCGGAACGGAAATATCGGAGGTCTATGCCGACTGGGACTCGTTATTAACAACCCCTCACGTATCGTTATAATCAACATCACGTGATACAAACGCCACGTAGCACCAATTAACGCCACGTGTCAAAAATCAACACGGTCGTGCGCGGCTCACCATGATCAGCACGGCCGCGGCCTGGATGACGGTGGTGGTAACCACCAGCGGCTGCTGCTGCAGATGCACCCGCCTGGGCGGCGGCCGGCTTTCCGCGCCGGCCATTGTTGGCTTATATAACGCGTACACTAGCACACCAGCATTGTGGGCCTTTGGCGCATGTGCTAAACGACGCCCAGCCTTGTAGTTATTTAACCCGATGATAACTTATCGAGATTTCCAGACGAGCGTGAGCTGGCGAATGCCACGCCCTACTAACCCTAGTTACAAGTACCCGTGATCACCGCGAGAAATTCGCGACGAAGTGTGACAATGGAGGAGAGATCGTCTTGGGGTGGCGCGACGCAACGTGGGGATGCTAGTGTGCAAAATTACACAACCACCCCTGAAAGAGTCAGTGGGAGCGGGGTGGGGATGGTGGAGGGGTAGTTGGTAATCGGGGCGGCCCCGGGGGTTGCCGCGAGGGTGGCGGACGCGCGCGGCGTGGTTGGTGGTGGGAAGTGTTGTGGATGAACTAAAATCGGGACCGCGCGGAATCAACGAATATAGAGATAATCACGATACATATTACTGGTGCAATTGAACTAGAGTGAAAATAGCACTAGTGAGTACAAATGTGAGCGAACATTTATAAATCTCACCCAAACCACGCACCGCTCGTCCATCAAAACGAGTACAAATGTGACGCGGAATCCCCGGCTTCGCAGATACACTTGAAAAAGAGGGATATTTTCGATATTGCCCACTGCACCTGGCTGTTTTCCATAGGGGTGCGACCTTTCTACCAGGCGAGGAATTCGATCATCTGAGATCCCTGGGGGTGGCAAGTCGATTGGCCCAGAATTTTCTCAACGTCGATGATGGGCTCTGATGCACGACGCGTCTTTGAGGGTGGTCGATGTCGAGTGTCACAGGTGCACTCGAAATCCCCGATTGATCCTAAGGAATTGTTATATACACGTTGGCCT